ATCATACAGACAAATTCCAAAAACATGAATGGATTTTGTTGACAAGCCTTTGAAGAAAAGGCAGTTTCATAAATTGCTAGTAGGTGTTTAAATAGGTTGAAATTTTCTAGAGGACAATTTGGCAGTGCTTACCAAAATTACCATCTCTAAAAGCCTTTGGGCACTAGTTCCTCATCTAAGAATGCATACTACAGAAATTCTTGCACACATAAAAATGACCTGTATATATAAGATGTTTTAGTAGTTTTAAGTAAGACAAAAAGCTCAAATATTTATCAGTAAAAAGCTGATATGAATTTAATGGAATACTCTACAGCTGTAAAAATTTAAAAAGTTATTTATTTACTTTTTATTTTTTTTCAATTATCTACACTAATAAAAGAGAAACATGCAAACTGGTGTCACTCCACTATGCCCACCAGCCAATCAACTATGCAAATTAACCCAACAAAGATGGCAGTTAATCTGCATATGCAGGTGCAGAGTGAAGATTGAAGGCTCCGGCCAGAGTGAAGACTGAAGACTGAAGAGGCTTGGCTTCTCCGCTGCGGCGGGACCAAAGGCCTGGGTCCCGGGTCCCGGAGGAAAACCGGTGCCAGCAGCCAGGGGCAGGAAGGCCTATTGCGTGAATCTTCTTGGAACAGGCTTCTAGTACTGATATAAGAAAATACCAGAAAAGATGAAATGAAAATGAAAAGGTACAGAAAAACGCTCATTGTATTTCATCATTATGGTAAAATATTTAATGAAGGGAATAAAGAATACATATCTTTGCTAGCTTGCTTGTTGCCTATAATTTTTCTTGATGAAGAATAAGACATTCATATCAGTGATGATCTATAGGATAACATGCACAGCTGGAAGCAGGGATGGGAAAAATATTTGTTACTATATCTAAAAAGTTAAATAAAAATATTGTTAATGTTCATAATTAAATTTGTCTTTTGAAGCAGAAATCATAGTGTAAAATATGTTCAAATATTTTACACTAAACATTATTATCAGCTCTATTAAAGAATTCAGTGTATCACTGAAACCCATCAAACAGCACATAGAATAAGTGGGTTGTGATTATGTGATTACTGTGCCATTCTATGGCTTGTTGTCATTTAGATTTGTTTCAAGTCTTTTTTTAGACTTATTATTATGAAATTCTTATTAAATGTCTGTTTTCCTTTCAAGAAAAAAAGTGAGCTACATATTGAATTCAAAGTGAAAGCTAATATTAACTATATTTGATTTATTACTTAGATCCAACAGTTATATAAGACAAATTCCCTCAACCAATTGTTGGCTCTTCTTTCTAAATATTTTCTTCTATTTATTGCAAAATTTTTATTCTTTTTTTTTTATTGACGTTTAATGGACATTTAAAAATGCAAACATTTACGTTACACAGTTATATATTCACATATGTGCATACCCAGGAAATTGTCATACCAGTCAATATGCCTCTCCTTCCAGCATCTGCATACACCTGTCCCCTACTGTCTCCCCACTGAATAATTCCAGCATTTTGATAGATTCCCTAAGGTTTTCTACAGTTCTGCTCTTTCCTTTATTGTCTCTTTTGTATTACTTCTCTTTTGTCTGATTGCACTGGCTAGAACCTGCAGGGAAGGTTGGGGATAAATGGTAAGAGCAGACATTTTGATTTGCCCTTAGTCTTAACAGGGAAACATTCATTTTTTTTCACATTAAGTGTGATGCAAGCTGTAGGTTTTTGCTGATTACCTTTATCAGGTTCAGCAAGTTCTTTTATTTCTAGTTTGCTGATAGTTATCACGAATCAATATTGAATTTTTGTACAATGTTTTTTCTTTGTCTATTGAGATGATCATGTGTTTTATTGTCCCTCTTGACCAATCATTAGCTCTTGGATAAATTTTATTTTAAAATAAAAAGGGTATGTCCCCATGCATGTGTATGTGTGTGTATGTGTGTGTGTGTGTGTGTGTGTGTAGATAGGGTGGTTATCTTTATTTTTTCTTATTTCATGACTGCTCTAACTTCTCATCCACCTTCTCAAAAATCCTAGAAGGCACCTGAGTCTTTCCATTATTTCCCCATTTCCAATGTCCAAGTGACTTGGGAGACCACCCCATCTTTCTTGTGCTCTCTCTTTCTAAGCCCTTGTCCCCATCTACATTTTCCCAATAGCACTGCCTGTTTGCCCTGTTATAAAATGGCATAGAGCAGCCAAAATGACCTTTGCTAAATGTTAATCAGAGTTAGTATCTATGATTAGTAATTCAACGATGGCTCCCATTCCTTAAAGGTACAATTCAACCTGTAAACTCCCACCCACTAGCACAGTCATCCGGAATGATATAAACCAAGCCTGTGGTCATGACACTGGGCCATATGGAATCCCTCTATCCTGTTCCCAAACTATCCCTCCAAGCTGAGGCACTTGCTTCTCCTGACTGTGTACCATGTTCCCTGTTTTCGCCTAACAATTCTCAGGCCTGTCACCGCCCTATAAGGAGGCCTTCACAGCCCCTGGCCACGAGTTACCTTGGCTCCCTGCACTGACTGCTGTGTACCAATGGCATACTCTATGTGTCTTTACTTACTAAAAATCTCCACAGGAGGCCTTCACAGAGGGCAGTTTGCCTTTTAACTCTCTATCTCCTTCATCTCCTTTATACATCACTTGTCACTGTGAGTCACATGAGTATATCTGAATACCTCTTTATAGGAGGAAGAAGAAAGGGAGGATGGAAGGAAGGAAGGAAGGAAGGAAGGAAGGAAGGAAGAG